TTCTGGCTGCTCGGTCTACCTGATGGTTATTTTGCTGTTCTTCAGTAGCCCGACTCTTGGGCACATGAGCATCTACATGGCGCACCTTTACAACTATAGTCTTTGTTCGGGCAGCAATGTCTTTCCACAGTTCAGCAGCCCAAATAGGTTTACCCCTTCTTTGCCAGTTATTTTGCTCCCACTGCTGTAACCACCCCCATAAGGCATTCGCTACCATCCACGAGTCAGTGTAAAGATAGAGCATTGGCCACCTCTCCCGTTCAGCAATATCCAAGGCCAGTTGGACAGCCTTTACCTCTGCAAATTGACTTGATTCTCCTTTCCCTTCAGTGGCTTCTGCAACTTGTCGTGTGGGGCTCCACACAGCAGATTTCCATCTGCGATGCTTTCCCACAATACGACACGATCCATCTGTGAACAGGGCAAATTTTTTTTCATTCTCTGGTAGTTCATTGTATGGTGGGGCCTCTTTAGCACGTGATACCTCTTCTCCTGGTGGTGTTCCAAACTTTTTACCTTCAGGCCAGTCCATGATGACCTCTAGGATTCCTGGACGGCTGAGGTTCCCCATCCGTGCTCGTTGTGTAATCAGTGCAATCCATTTACTCCAAGTGGCATCAGTAGCATGATGGGTAGAGGGAACCTTTCCTTTAAACATCCAGTTCAGCACTGGCAGTCGAGGTGCCAGAAGAAGCTGTGTTTCAGTACCGACTACTTCGGAAGCAGCCCGAACCCCCTCATACGCAGCTAAGATCTCCTTCTCAGTTGGAGTGTAGCGCTCTTCAGACCCTCTGTACGCCCGACTCCAGAATCCCAGGGGTCGGCCTCGAGTCTCTCCCGAGGCTCTTTGCCACAAACTCCAAGTGGGGCCGTTCTCTCCAGCAGCAGTATAGAGGATGTTCTTTATACCCTGTCCCGTCCGTACTGGCCCTAGGGCCACGGCACGGGCTATCTCCTGTTTGATCTGTTCAAAAGCCTGCTGCTGCTCAGGGCCCCATGTAAACTCATTTCTCATTCGTGTCACATGATAAAGGGGGCTTACAATGAGGCTGTAGTTCGGAACATGCATTCTCCAAAAGCCCACTGCACCCAGAAAAGATTGTGTCTCTCTTTTGCTAGTGGGTGGAGACATGGCAGTGATTTTGTTGATCACATCTGTCGGGATGTGACGACGGCCATCTTGCCACTTTATACCTAGGAACTGAATCTCCTGGGCAGGTCCTTTCACTTTGCTTCGCTTAATAGCAAAGCCAGCACTCAGAAGAATTTGGATCGTTCGCTCTCCTTTTGTAAAGACTTCTTCTGCTGTATCGCCCCACACAATGATATCATCAATGTACTGCAGGTGCTCAGGAGCACTGCCCTGTTCCAATACAGTTTGGATCAGTCCATGGCAAATGGTCGGGCTGTGTTTCCACCCCTGGGGCAAACGGTTCCAGGTATACTGAATGCCTCTCCAGGTGAAAGCAAACTGTGGCTTACATTCTTTGGCCAAAGGAATGGAAAAGAAGGCATTAGCAATGTCAATGGTGGCATACCATTTGGCCGCTTTTGACTCCAGTTCATATTGGAGTTCTAACATGTCCGGCACAGCAGCACTCAGAGGGGGTGTGACTTCATTCAGGCCACGGTAGTCCACCGTCAGCCTCCATTCTCCACTGGCTTTACGTACTGGCCATATGGGGCTGTTAAAAGGCGAGTGAGTTTTGCTGATCACTCCCTGGCTCTCTAGTTGACGGATTAACTTATGAATGGGGAGCAAAGAATCCCTGTTGGTGCGGTACTGCCGCCTGTGCACCATTTTTGTAGCAATCGGTACGTGTTGCTCTTTTACTCGCAGCAGCCCCACAACAGATGGATCTTCTGACAGGCCAGGCAAAACAGACAGCTGCTTAATGTTGTCTATGTCCACAGCAGCTATTCCAAAGGCCCATCGATACCCCTTAGGGTCCTTGAAATGCCCCCTTCTGAGATAATCAATACCTAGTATACATGGAGCCCCTGGGCCCGTCACAATAGGATGTTTTTGCCAGTCCTTACCAGTGAGGCTTATCTCAGCCTCCAACACAGTCAATTCTTGAGAGCCCCCGGTCACTCCAGAAATATGGATTAATTCTGTCCCTTGGTGACTCGAGGGCATCAGAGTGCACTGTGCACCAGTGTCCACCAGTGCCTTATATTTCAGTGGTTCTGATGTGCCAGGCCATCGAATCCACACAGTCCAATATACTCTATTATCCCTTTCCCCCTCCTGACTGAGGGCAGGGCCCCCCTATTCGTTACCTGTGGTAACTGGAGCAACTGCACTGGTGGTTGATCTGCTTTGTAATTCTTTCACCCGGGCTCGTAATACAGGAGTAGGTTGACCGTGCCACTTCCCCATGTCTTCTCCATGGTCACGTAGGTAATACCATAAGGCAATTCGCGGTGTATTACCCCTTACTTGAGCCGGAGAGCGTTTGCTTCTAACAGCTGAGATCTTTGATGGTGCACGTGCACGTGAGAAGGAAGTTTGTTCGTCTTTAGTTAGATTGGCTCGCAAAAATTTCATCATCTCCTTCACCTCCTTTGCTAGACTCATTTGATCATCCTGATCTTCATCAAGTGTCTCTGATACTGCTACAGGTTTGTCGCGGTTAATCAGTTGAGACACTTGCTCCGTCATTTTTGATATCGCAGCAACGGCAGCATGAATCGGGGACAGCAATTGTTCGTAGTTTTGGAGCGTAACAATTAATTCATAAACTAAGGGCGTTCTCTGTTGTTCGTTGAATCTGTCACACGCTGACATCAGTGTAGAGGCATATTTGTCTGGCGCTGTTGTCACGATTTTCTGCCATATCTCAGGCGTTGTCCTCACTCTTTCAGGGTCGCGGTTTTGGTGTGGGTCGTTAGGAACAAAGTCAGGGTCATACAACATTTCCACCACGCCTATTTCCCTCAAATACTGGATCCCCTTTTCAACTGTATCCCATTTTTTCATTGCAATCTTCAAGCCATTTTTGAAGGGATACTTTTCCTTCACGGCTGTTAACACTCGTTCCCAGAGGGAGGCAGCTTCATCCGAACATCGACTAATTCCTCTATCAATAGCTGGATCTCTGGCAATGGCACCGAGTTGGCGAGCTTCATTACCATCCAGAGACAAGCTATGGGCCCCACTGTCCCAACAGCGAACCAACCAGGAAACAAGAGTTTCATTCGGGCGCCGTGTAAACTCCTTTCTTGAACCTTGGATTTCAGTCATCTTTAGAGGCCGGCGAGTAGTAATAGAGACTTCCTCTTCATCACTCTCTTCTGCACGTCTCTTAGTTTTCCCTTTTGCCTTTCGCGATGGTGGTGGTGCTGAGGAGGGCCCCTCACCTGGATCTTCCTCCACCTCCTCCTCCTCTTCTTCTCTTTTTCGTTCAAGACGCGAAGACACTCGTTTCCATTTCTTGCCCTCCACAGGAGCAACTGGTATTGTTACTGGTGTCTCCTGTGATTGATTAGATTTGACTTGGGGATTTTCCCCTTTAGCTTGAACCTCAGCTCGGAAACTCTCTCTCTCCAGAATGGTGTTATATAGGGCACGGTAAGCACAAGCCAAACCCCAAATAAGTTGTACCTCCTTAGATTTATGTAAGCCGCATAGTCCCTGACTCAAATACTGGCTTAGTTTCTCAGGATCCCACAGGTGTTCAAGGGTAAAATCCCATGACACTGCGGGTCCCCATGCTTCTAAGACCTTTCCTAAACCTCTCCATATTCCCTGCCAATCATCATTCTCTAGTTTTGGAGAAGACTCCTTCCCCTTATTACGAATGAATTGGAATACATTCAGGAGAATTGATGACATGCACACGCACACCAACATGAGAATTAATTCAGGATTCAAAAAACGTTTGACAAACCGAGAAGAAAAACCGGAGACTGGTCTGAACATCGTGTTGTTTGTAAAATTAGCTATTCCATTTGGGATGTAACTGTTTGTGAAATTAGCCATTCCATTTGGGATGTAGCTGTTTGTGAAATTAGCCATTCCTTCTGGGATGTAAATGTCAAAATTCAAATCATACCACATTGCAAGTAGGTGAAACATAGGTGTCTCCATCAGTGCCATTAGGTACCTATATACGGTTGCAATTCCAACACACGTAAGTGCAAGATGGATTATTGGCCAGTAGGTTGTGAGTAACACCATTGCTTTAAATCCTTTACACAGCGCCCCCACAATAACGAGTGGGTTCATCAGAAGCGCCTGCTAAAAAGGGGTTAATGAACTGAAGCTAATAAGAGCAGGAAAAAAAAAGAAAAAAAAAAGGCACAACCCAGACTAAGTAGTGCTCAAAGTTTACAAATATCCCAGAACACTGGCAGTACGCCTAATCTTTCAAGGTCAGGTTTTCCAACACAGAAACCTGAACTACTGATAATGCTCCCTAACGAAGCTCTCTAAGAGCAGAGAGAAAAAAAAAGATTCGTTCTAACAGCTAAAAAGCAGCTTGCCCCACGTTGGGCGCCAAAATCTGTCACGGAGTTGATCAGATCAATCTATGTCCGTGACAGGGGCAGCAGGCCTCTGCCCTCCCCCCCCACCCCGGTCCCACAAAAAATGGGAAGGAAGGAAGGGAGGAAAAGAGCAGCGGCAACAATCTATGGAGGAAAACTTATTTTACTATAATATTGGAATACAAAATAACACAATATATACAATTTAATTGAAATTGAGATTAATAAATCAGACAAGATGAGAGAGAGAGTTCCCGGGACCGAGTCAAACCTGAAAAGCTTGGAACGGCCAGGAAAGCACCCTCCTGCACCCACTGCCAGACAGCAAGAGAGCGCTCCCCCCACCCGGAAGGGCCAGATCCCGTGACTGCTGTAATGTACAGGGATAGGTAGCTGGAATTGGGGCAGTGACACTTTAATGCCCCGTACACTACATGATGTTTTGATGTGGAATACTGAAACCATAAAAAAAAAAAACAACAAAACATAGAACCATGACAGCAGAGTACCTGGATATTCAGTGCTGTGCTGCCACCAGCTCTGATATCCACGCTGTGCGCTGCAGTTCAGTATGGAATGACGGTGGCCAAGCAAAGCACCTTCAGTAAAGGACGGTTTATTGATCACCAAAGATCCGGGGGGAAGCGCTTTTAAAACAGGAGTGCTCGCACGTATCTCTCCTTTGGGAGAGCCCCGTTTTCCTTCAGGCTCTCGCACCGTTCCTGGCACAGACTGTACACCAGCAGTCGTCTCGTTTCTCTAAGCAAAGAAAAACAAACCAAAAGCCACATCAGATGTCCCTGGCTGTGCTACAGAGCTTTGTGAGCAATGGCACAGATTCCATATTTAACTACCAGTTCACCTCTTCTGACCCTGCAGGTGTGAGAGGACCTCCGGAGGATCGGCCGGTCTCTCACGGCAGAGACGTTCCAGGTCTCCTGTCCTGTATCCTCCCATGCTTATACACTGCAGCACAAAACACAAAACCCAGTCAGACACAGCAAAGACTCCCATCTGTTCCAGTGTTTGTGCTACAGCAGAACACGGCACAGAGCACAGACAGAATTCTCACTTTGAGGCCAGCCGTGACAGAAGAGCCACAGCTGAACCTCTGCAAGCTGCCACCGCTGAAGGGCCGTTGGGGAAGTCACGGGAGAACTGCCTCGCTCGGCCCTCATCACTTCACTCTAACACACACCAGCCAAACCTCGGATTTCCTTTCCTTAGCCATGCCTAACAGATCCGTGTGTGGAACAGCCTCCTCCAGTTCACCTGCGTTCCACTCTGAGGAGGCCCACACTTACGTAGATGACACAAGTGTGGAAGACCTAACAGGATACCTGGAGCACTATTTATTTATTCCAAAGAAAATGTCTCCCATGGCTGAAATGATGTATTCCTAAATGAAAGCCATAGGGAGTCACATAGTCATACAGTTTAGTTTTTTAATTAAACCTGTATATAGTTTCATACAGTCACACAATGGTTTGCTTTGTTTTGGGAGGGACCTCTAAGATCATCTCATTCCCAGCCCCTGCGGCACGAAGGGACACCTCCCTCTACACCAGGCTGCTCACAGCCCCATCCAGCCGGGCCCTGAAGGCCTCCCACGTGGGGACATTCACAGCCTCACTGGGCAACCTGTGCCAGTGCCTCACCAGCCTCACAGCAGGGAATTTCTTCCTAATAGCTGGTCTAAGCCTACACTCTTCCAGTTCAAAGCCATTTCCCCTTGGCGCTACCCGCCTTTATAACAAGAACCCCCCAGCATTCCTGTAGACCCCCTTCAGTCCTGGAATGCTGCTAGAAGGTCTCTTCTCCAGGCTGAAGAGCCCCAGCTCTCTCACCCCGTTGCCCTAGGGGAGCTGTTCCTGCCCTCTGATCATCTTTGCGGCCTCCTCTAGACTTGTTTCAATGGCTCCCTGTCCTTGTGTCAGCTGCCTCACTCAGCTTGGTATCGACTGCAATGTGATGACCGTGCACAGGATTTCACTGTCCATGTTGCCTATAAAGATGTTACATGGCACCGGTCCCATCACGAGTCCCGGGATGGACGCTAGATGGAGCTTTCTGAACACAGATTCACGGGTGGACACTGCTGATGATTCAATGCTAGTATTCCTCTCTCCGAACGCAGAGGTGCTCTTTTCCAGCTAAAGGAACCCCAAAACCACTGTCTGCCCCTGGAGCCAGTTCTGTCCCACTCACCGACCTGCTTTGCGGCACTGAGTGCCACCAGCGTGGTTTTGCAGCCCTGGAGCATCACCGTTTCCCCATGGGCATCCCCAAGGCCATTGAACACAGCACATTTTTCCACGCTGGTGCAGGGATGTGCCGGCTGCTGTGAAGGGGTGTGCAAACCTGAGCACACTGCACTGCTCAGATGGCAAAGCTGCAGGCAGCACGGCTCCCCAGGTGCGACACATGTCCCCACACTCTGACCTTCTGAAAATAACCCAGGGTCAATTCTGCTTTGGCACAGGATAGGGCTCCAGCCTCAGTGCACAGCACCCATCAGGCAGTGCTCCCCTCCCTCCCCTCCCCAGATCACTGCGTGTCTCTGAAGAACCACTGCTGCTTCTCCCGTGCAACGTTATAAGGCAGCAAGGCACCCGCTGGACGTTTTAAAGCCAGCATCTCTTGATGCAGCTCTTCACTGCCTATTTACCATATCAAAAGCAGCACAAAACCTGAATGCCTGCCGCAAAATAACTCAGGCCAGGGCTGCCCTGAATCGCTGGGCAGGCAGTGGGAGCAGCATCCTCCTACGGCAGCGATGCCACGAGCATGCCCGCTCCCCAGGGAGCCCTGCCAGGAGCCGTGAGGCCGCGCTCCCCTTTCCCAGCCCCGCGCCCGCTGCCCAGCCCCAGCACAGCGAGATGGAGCTGCCCCGGGAGTGATGCTGCTTGCCGAGCCCATGTGATGCTGGGCTAGCGCGGCTCCTCCATCGTCCCCCTCCGCTCACAGGCTGTCATGGCGACTCCCAATAACGTTACTCCCACCAACTGCAGCTGGTGGCCCATCTCGGCGCTGGAGAACGACGCGGGGAAATCCAAGGAGGGGGAGGAAAATCAGGATCCGACGGACCCCGCTCTCAGATCCCAGGACAGGCTGGTTTTGTACCACTGGACCCAGTCCTTCAGCTCCCAAAAGGTAACAGCTCGGCCGGCTTCCCGGAGGAATCACCTCTCCGGGCAGGGCATACCCTTGGCTCGGGAGGACGGCTCCGCACGCAGCCGTTTCCCAGGGTGGGCGAGGGGAGCAGCACGCACCCGGTTGGCCCTTTTGTACCCGTATTCCTGTGTTTTATCAGCATCTCCCCAGGGAGGGGGGGCTCAGCCAAACCCTGCTTTTGCTTTCAGCCCGGGGTTTGCAGCGGGAGACGCCTCTGCTTTGTGCTCGCTCACAGCCGAACGCAAGCAAAGCGCAGACAAAGGCTGAGCCGGGGACCACCCTGCGGCTGTGGGGACCTGGCACAGCCAGCGCAGGGAGCGACCCCAGGAAACACAGCGCCGTGCCGGGAGAAATTTGCCCCAGCATTGCAGCAGGGCCCTGGAAATCCCACTCCAGAGGTCCTCCATCTCTGAGCAAAGCATGGGAGCCAAGCAGTCCCCAGATCACTTTTTCCAGGCGATCCCAATGCTCATTTTGCAGCATGGCAGCAGTGCCATAAAGCTGACCATCTGCTGGGCCTTCTACCACTCCCGTGCCATCAATGTCAGGTGGGCAGAGAGCTGCCGGGGGCCCCAGGGAGCACAAAGCCATCCCAACAAGAGGCCCCTGGAGCCCCACAGTGAGCAGGGATGTCCCCATCTGCCCTGCGCACAAAGGACCTGCAGGCGCCTGATGCAGCAGGGCCACGGCGCTTATCCCATCCACCCGAGCTCCCGGGGCTGCCACAGGGATGATTTCATTCTTGTGCTGCTGACAGCCCCAGGACCCCGCTTCAGGGCACCCCGAGAGTCCTCAGCCCCTGCCGTCCCACTCCAAGGTACTGGTGGTGAAAAGGATTGGGAGTGAGGGGAGATATGGTAGCCCTTGTTTGGCTCTGCTCCCAGCATCCTCCTGCCCTCCGAGGGACGATCTGCATGGATGGAACCTGGCTTTTCTATCTTTGACTTTAAAAGAAAAAAAATATTTTGTCAGCTATTAAATAATTAATGACTAATTCCCCTGGAATTCTGACATACTCGTAGAAATGCCCATATTTGTTAAGGTGCATTTTTAGCTGCCATCAGCTGGAGAAGAACATGCAATTCTCCTTCATTCAGCACTTCTGTGAGGCATGGCTCTCCGACGAGCCCTCAAGGCTTTTTTTGCCTGTTTGACACACTTGGGTCACAAAGGTCACGTGTTCTTAATAACTCGGAAGCCTGAAGTGAGATTTCTGAGTGCACATTCACAGCGAGCACAGAGAAGAGCAGAAGAGGAGGATGCTGGGCTGCATGTGATGCCCCAAGATGCCCAGGGCCGGAGTCAGCATTCCCACCTGTACAACGGGCTGGTGGCAGCCCAGAGCCTCGTAGAATCCTTAAGGTTGGGAAAGAGCTCTAAGCAGAGAGGAGGGGGAAACCAGGCACCGGGGCGCCAAGGGGTTGCAGAGGGCTGTGTGATGTCCCTGGGTGGCTGCTGTATGGGAAATGCATGGGGACAAAGGGGCAATGCGTGGCTCCAGCAGGGAAAAGGGGAACAAAATCCCCCATCGAACTCTGCTTGCTGCCAGGACTCCCCGGAGCACAGCAAGTGCCTGGAATCCTTTCTCCTGCTCAAGACGTGCCCAGAAAAGCCAGAGCCCAACCCCAAGAGAAGGACATACCTGAGTTATGGCGTGGGCTTCCTCCAGCCGAGCTGCAGCACCCACTGCAAGCAAGGGGCAGCATCACTTCAGCCTCCTCTTCCTCGGGTCTGTGCTGCTGCTCTCTCTGACCACCCACACCTGGGGGCTGAGGGCGGCCGTTCAGCCCTCCCAGAGCCCTCACCCCAGCTGCTGTCACAGCGCCACGGGCCAGACAGAGGCGACCCTGCAAAGTTCGGGCGGTTGCGGGTCTCCTTTGGGACGTTCCCTCCACTGCCAGGAACGGAGATCCTCACTCAGCTGCCTGCCTGGATCCTGCAGTGCGCTCAGGGCACTGGTGGGGCTGTGGGGCTGAGCTGTCCCTCTGTGCCCCGCTGCAGGTGCGCTTGGTCATCGCTGAGAAGGGGCTGCCCTGCGAGGAGCGCGATGTCAGCATGCCGCTGCTGGAGCACAAGGAGCCCTGGTTCATGCGGCTCAACCTGGGCGAGGAGGTGCCCGTCATCATCCACCGGGACAACATCATCAGTGACTACAACCAGATCATCGACTACATGGAGAGGAACTTCACAGGAGGTAACGGGGGCACAGCTGCGTGCCGGGCTTCGTCTCAGCACAAACGTAGGGCAGATCTGAATGTCGGTGGCCAAATGCACCCATTTCCTCCCACAAAGGTTTGGCTCGCCCACGTCCAATTCTCACGCTTTCCTATCAAAACGAAGGATTTCCAGCAGAAATCCTCAGACATCCCTTGCAAATCCTGCAAGGGGGATTTGGGAGAGCTGCAGCTGGGTTTGCCCTTCTGTCCTAGAGTCTATGCTCCCATCTCCATGGCTTGGGGAGCCCATGGTGTACGGTGGCATCCCACCAGGCTCTGCACGCTGGGGACAGAGTGACAGAGATCCAGAGGAAGGGACGGCTGAGAGGGAACTCCTGTGTCCTCCCCTTGGAGCAGGGCTGAAGCTGGGACGCTGAGGTCCGAGGCCGCTCCTCACGCAGCTGCTTTGGCAAGTAGCATCTCCAGCCCCTTAGTCCATGTCATCCCAAATCCGCAGGCTGCCACGCTGGGATGCTCCGCCGGGAGACTTCAAAGCCCAGCACGGAGCTTTGGCTGTGGCATCAAGACTCTCGCCCCAGCATCCATCAGCCTTGCGGCGGAGGCATCAAAAACATCTCTAAATAGCTCCCCAAGCACAGGCACCATGCCAGCTCAGCTGCTCTCCTCTCCCGGCCCGGCCGCCATCGTGCTCAGCAGAGGTGCCGCACTTCCTTGCCGCTGGGATGGCAGACAGACAGACAGACACCAGAGCCCCACAGAGGAGCCCCCACAGCAGCGGCCCCACGGATGGGGCAGCCCCGCGTCCTTGGTGCACACTGCTGCGTGGGGCTGCAGTCCTCACACTGCTCCGTGCTGCTGCCCGGTCCCTACGGAGAGCAGCTGACCCGGCCTATGTTGGCAGCACGCTGTCCCCAGCAGGGGACATGGGCACGATGGGGATTCATGGCTCTAGCAGGAGACACTGCGCTCTGTTTTGGGGGAACAATCAGCAGTGTGCCATGCACTTGTGGCTGGAAGCCAGCAGAGCTACCGGCTCAATTTCTCCTGTCTCTTCCCTTGCCCTCCAAAACATTGAAAGTATTTATCTTCAAGAGTTGGCAACAAAATCTTTCCGCTGTCAGTTATGTTTTCTTGCCACAGCAGAACACTGTGCTCCCTCCCCACTGCTCTGGGAAAACTCCTGCCCTTGAGGTTTTGCAGCCAGGTGCATGGCCTCACCTTCCCACTGAGAAGTGCCATGTAGGAAAACCTGCGAAGAGGAAGGATGTCTCCCTTCCACTCCTGTTCTGTTATAGGGCCTTCATCCACCCATGTTAAGTGGGAAGGGCATCATCAGGATGTCTCTGTATTGCTGCAAGGAGGTAGAACTCACCTTGCAGCAATGCTCAGAGCGTGGAAATCCTGTGTAAGGAAGTATGCTCACAGCTTCCAGGAATGGAAGTACTGACTTTTTCTGCTGGTGACACTGAGGTCAGCCAACAGCAAAGGATGACTGCTTGGCCAGTTTTGCAGTGGGGCCAGAGCCATTGTTTCAGTTCCTTAGTTAAGCAGCAGCATTGGCCACTGCAAAAGTCCATCAGCAGCTGCTGTGAGCTTTGCTAGCTCCAGCTGCTGGCTTGTGGAGAGCCCTGTTCTGCAGATAGCCCAGCTCGGAATCTCAGCAATAAATTCACCCACTACCTGTTAACTATCCACAGAAGTCATAAACATTTATGATCCCATAAAGAAAAGCTCCTGATGTTCTTGGGGGAGACAAGAGCAATGTTTCCCTCCTGCTGCCATCCGCTGTGTATTCTGAGCTGTAAACATAATAAAAAAGAGCACAATACAAACTGCCACCCCACCAAGGTGAATAAAACCCAACAAACCAAGGAGGTGCAGAGCCCTGGGGAGAAGATAGTCCTGGCACTGAGGGAGATATGTTCAGCTCTTTGTTTTGTCATCCACTCCTTTGTAACCCACATGGAATGGTCTCCGCTATGTGACCATGAGCACCTGTCCCCAAAAGTTCCAGCACCTCTAACACATTTTCAATTTGCCCCTTCCAGAGAACGTCCCCCAGCTGATCCCTGAACCCGGGACCCTGCTGCACTCGCGGGTGTTGCAGTACCGGGAGCTGCTGGACTCACTGCCCATGGATGCCTACACACATGGCTGCATTCTGCACCCCGAGCTCACCACCGACTCCATGATCCCAAAGTACGCGACCGCTGAGATCCGCAGTAAGTCACCTCTGGGGCAGGGAGCCGGCAGGATTCCGGCCCTGCACCTCCCGCCTGGTAGGCTCCGTCTGCAGGCAGCTCCCATAATAAACACCGGCTCCCCTGTGAGTTACCAGCCAAGGACATTGGCTGGTATTCTGGCTGAGAAGCTCAGAGTACCTCTGTAGGAACAGAGAACCCTAACAGCCACTGCAGGCTCCTGGTGGAAAACTGGGAGCTTTGCTATTTTGTGGCAGTGTAGAGTCTACTTCTGGCTGCACCCACACCCATACTGGCAGAGCCAAGCTCTCATTCAGAGGAACAAGGATGGAGACAGATGGTGCCTGCCAGGAGGAGGTTAGCCCGGCTTGGGGCAATTTATTGCAGCCCTAAAGTGTTACTCTGCATTTTGTATCCTCTTCTGCCATTTACCCTGCTCCCTTCCCTCCATTAGCTCCCTTGCACGAGACCCTTCCCGATCTTCTGATGCCCTGATGGAGACAAGGCAGTGAAATGCTGAATTTCCCTGCTGGTAATGCTGGCAGCACAGATATGATTTGCAAAGGCAGCAAACACACATGATACAAACCCAAACCTGCCAGCACAGCCGCTGCTGCGCTCCCAGCCCAAGCGCAGCCACCCTCCTGGCCAGCCCTGCTCCTGCTCCGCAGCCCCAAGTGCTGTACCTGGGCAGGTGGATGAGCACAGCTGAGCCCAGGGACCCCCCTCATTGGAGTGGGGATGCACACGGTGACAGCACGGCTCTGACCTCCAAGGCTGCAGCCAGTTTGACTCCCCAGAGCCTCTGCATGCAGCCAGAGCTGGAACCTGGGATTTGTGGGATTAAAATGACACAGGGCAGGCCAGGACCCTGACTCAGGCACAGGGGTACCCGTGGCCCTGTCCTGCATCCTTGGCCTTCAGACTCCTGTGATGTGGGTTCCCTCCCAGACCCCTTCCACCGTTCACCAGTGGGCTGCCAGTGGGGCTGCACCCTGCACATGGACACGGCTCCCTCTGGCTCTGCCACAGAGACAGGGGAAGGCAGGCCCTGATTTGCAGACCAGCTCTGCATCTTGCTGAGGTTGTAATAATTTCCAGGAAAAAAAATCAGAGTAAGAGGTGCAGGACAGGGAAAAAACAGCTTGGTAGCTCTGGGCAGGCAGAGGCAAACCCTCAAGGCTGAAAATGGGAACAGAGCAGAGGTGCTGGAAGACTCCCATCCATGGAGATTGAGTACCTTTTCCTCTCCCTCGTATCTTTTCTTACCAAATCCCTCCATCTGTGCACTGCACAGCGGGGAGGAGGCTGCCCTGTGCAAGGAGCTCTTGCAGCAGGCAGTCTCTGTTGTTCCAGACTTGTGTGAACACGTTTGCTGGTGTTTAGCAATTAGCAGCTGTTGCAATAAACCAAAACCTGATCTCTGCTGCGCACTCAGCAGCAGCCCAGGCCATGCCAGGGGAGCTAGGATCTGAATTTTACTCTGTCTGGTCCCGAGCCTCGCTGTTGGGAAAGGCCTGGCAGACAGCGAGGCTGAACCAAACACCAGCTATGCTGCTTAAATCCAACCTCACCCTTGGTTTTGTCGTCATCTCTCCCATCAGTGCTTTGGGACAGACACCCGTTTTCTTCCTGGTGTTGCATCGCACAGCCCACTGAATGGGGCTGATCTGTGCTTCTCCCAGCAGAGATGGGAAAAGCGGCTCCAGGGGAAGCTGAGCCACACAGTCTATTCTTTTTTAACACAGAGGAACAGCACTTCAAAGCTATTTAATGCATCAAAAAGTCTCATTTTCAAACAAAACAGCGGGATTGTGCCTGCAAATCCCTCTTAATTAAGCTCTCTGAAGGGAGCTCAGCTGCTTCCCAGGCTAACCTGTGGGATGGGAGTACTCCAAAGCTGCACTTCCAGCCTGCTGAACAAACCATTTTCCTGCTGTAAAAGCTGGCAAGGCTGCAGCTCACCAGGGAATATTCCAGTAGGCTCAGCTCCTGCCTGCCCTCAGCTCGTCCCTGCCCTCACACACAGCCAGCAGCTCCGGGTGGGAGGACAGAGCCTGCAGCCCCTCTGTCTATCTCCCCCAGGGCATTTGGCTAATGCCAGCACGGAACTGATGAAGCTGGACCACGAGGAGGAACCACCGCTGACAGAGCCATACCTCTCCAAGCAGAAGAAGCTCATGGTGAGTCGGCCAGAGCTGCACGAGGCTCTTTGGTGGTGGGCATGACTGTGGGGATGCATAGCCATCGGTCCATCCATCCGTGTCACCACTGCTCTCCACCAGGCCAAGATCCTGGAGCACGACAACGTGAATTACTTGAAGAAAATCCTGGGGGAGCTGGGAATGGTGCTGGACCAGATCGAGGCTGAGCTGGAGAAGAGGAAGCTGGAGTACCAAGGTAGGTGCTGGATGGTGTTCAGACAGTGTGCTGCTTTGGGGATGGCCGATGGCTCTGCACACTGTGAAAGCCCACACGGAGTTCCATGGGGCTTGCACTGACAGTAGAGGGGCTGCTGCAGACCATTTGGGGCTCTCCCATTTAGGGCACGCAGCTGTTATTTCCTTGCTGACCTCCAGGTAGCCCCTCCACCTCGCAGCTTTGCTCCTCCTGGCTGCTTTGCAGGAGCTCTGCAGTCACTGCAGCATGGTGACACGTCCCACGTTCCACAGTGACCCACCAACCGGCCGCTAACCCTGCGGTCCCATTCTGTGCCCACTGCCTCCATGGGGGGAGGAGGATTCGGCATCGTGCCACCACAGATGTGTGTCACCTGCAAGTCTTCTCTGCCTGCCCACCTCCCCGGGCTCCCAGCGCTCAGCACCGGGCCGTGGCACACGGCAGGGAGCCTGGTGGCACAGAGGAGCCCAGTGAGGTGGCAGCTCGTGCGTCAGTCAGCAGCAGGAGGGCTGGAGTGGCTGTGGCCTGCCCTGACCTCAAACAAACACCGCCGAGCACCCGCCGAGAGCCGTCCCACAGCCCTGGCAGCGCAGGCACGGCCGCGCATCGCTTGTCCCACCGTCACCTCAGCATCCCTCTGGAGCAGGGCTCCTAACCCCGGGACAGCTGACGATGGCAGGGATGGAGCACAGCCCAGAGGTGTTAACGAGGGGCAGCCCCACAGCCGGCCCTATGTGGGGAGCCGTGCGTCATGGGGCCCACAAGCACAGCACAGGGCTGCAGCGTGCCTTGAGGTCTCATATGCGGCACCAGGCAGCGGCTTAATTGCATCCAGCAGGCAACCTCACTGACTGACCTGAGGGCTGGGGGGGATTCAGCAGGATTCTGCCTCCTTAGGTGCCCTCTGCAGAGCTGCTCCAGCCAGGTGCGGTGCCCCCCACTTCCAGGTCCTCCACCTGCCAGCCTCAGGGCCACGCAGCCTGCAGCAGGCTCCGGCTGTAGCACCCCACAATTTATTAGCCACTGAAAATATTTATTGACTAATTAAGCCTAGGCAATCTGTCCACTCAGGCTGTGCCTCTGGCAGGATTAGGCAGGCTGCCAGGCTGGTACAAACGAGGCCTACTAATTACCAATAACTCTCATGGCCTGGCCCCGCAGGCAGCTGAGCTTCAGTTGTGCCTGAGCACAGAGCTGCCTCCAGGCACCAGCCTTCCACCCTGTCTGTTAAGTAGAGCTTCACACAGCAATACTAACTGCTCAGGGCAGTGGAGGAGCACCAAAATAAAGGATTTGGTGCAAAGCATCCCAGGTTTTAAGGTGGAGCACAGATCCCTATCCCTATGGCCAGCAGCAGATCCCACCTTCCCTTCCCAGCGCATCTCAGCATTTTGGGGTCTCCTTTTCATTTAAATCCACCAAAGGAGGATAATGTTTCTCTGCAGCCTGGAGAGAGCAGGAACTGGACTTCTTACCATGTACTGTGCTTTACTTCTGCTTCTGAGATTTGCTGGGCAGGTGCTGAGCAGCATCCCAACTCCACTGCTTGCTTGCAAAGCATAACAAGCAGGGATATCCAAGGCACAGCTCTATGCAGTGGACACCTGGGTTTTGTGCCCCTTCTGTAGTTCTTTCCTTTCCTGTACCTCCCTTTATTTCCTCAGGAAATAACCTGAGCCAGCTTCTTCCAGCATGCTTTTTCATGGACATATCCTGGATGATGTTATTTCCAGGCTCACCACTATCAGGGACTATCAGTGCTGTGATACCTTCTCTCATGCCCAGCACTCACACGAGCTGTGCCTGTACCCAAAACCTGGTTCGTGGCACTGAAGCAATTTGGTGTCCCAGTGCTAGAGAGGGGACTGAGTCAGGACCTCCCCAAAAGCATGCAGGGAGAGCAGCCAGGCTGGGCCAGCAGATGGTTTTGATTCCCAAGGATTTCTCACATCCCTAAAATAGGACCATGTTACCGTGTCAAACAGCTTGCATCTCCCAGCAGCAGCCAAGGACAAATGCTGTTGCTCTCTCTGAGCATTAATGCAGCAAAGTGGTCACTGAGCCACAACACAGCTATTTTGTAGATATTGATTTGTGTCCCCATGCGGGTTATAAATGCCCGTTGCACGTTCCCAGCTTTGTGGCACCACGTGGCCTCCTAACAGTTAAGGTCTGGTCTTCTGGGACGTCACAGTGCTCAGAAAAGGATTTGGAGTCTAATCCAAAACCTCCTGCCTTTGTGGAGCTTTTGAGCAAGCCTTTAAGCATCCATCCAAGGATCTGTTCTCATCCTTCCTCTTCTGTCATTTGTTTCTCCAGGGCAGAAGTGTGAACTTTGGCTCTGCGGATGTGTCTTTACCTTGGCCGATATCTTGTTAGGAGCTACCCTGCATCGCCTCAAGTTTCTAGGACTCTCTAAGAAATACTGGGAAGATGGCAGCAGACCTAACCTACAGTCCTTCTTTGACAGGATACAGAAACGCTTTGCCTTCAGGAAAGTCTTGGGAGACATACACACCACGCTGCTCTCCGCAGTGGTACCCAATGCCTTCAGGCTGGTCAAGCGGAAACCTCCCTCCTTCTTCGGAGCCTCCTTCCTGATGGGATCTCTGGGGGGAATGGGATATTTTGCTTACTGGTACTTAAAGAAAAAATACATCTAATGCTGGCAGCTTGGTGTTTAGATTGGTGTCTCTGTGCTGTGTGAAATTATGACGAAGCCTCAGTAACTGTAATGAAATTTGAGGCAAGGTATGAATAATAATATTGTTTAATGTAACATTCCATAGTCTAGAAGTAGAAAAGTATACTGCAAGGAAATAACAGCAACAAAAATGCATCAACTTGTAAATGCCTTTTTAGGTTTAAGTATTCCACTCCAGTGGGAGGCTTGGGGGCTGGCCTGGCTCCCCGTGCCCACTGGGAAGCACTGCGGGTGCAATTCCAGGGGGAGATGGGCACCCTGAGGAGCTCCCAACACCCAGGTTAACAGTGGGACTTGGATACTCAGCCCTGTTTGTGTTTCCAGAGTGTTCACCGGCCACATTTCACGTATACTAGTAGGGACTTTCTTCTTCTACAAGCCAGTGTTATGCTCAAAGGCTTTTCTGGGGCAGGGTGCAGTAGCTGGTCACAGTGAAGGTGGATTTGCTTTCTTCAATTATCCTTTTTTGTTTTTTTTTTTAATTATTTTCATCAAAAAGAATATTTGTATGGAGCTGCTCTTGGCATACATCCACTTCGTATGCCTGGTTTTGGTGGGCTCTTTTTAAAAAAGAATTTGATGCCTGTCTTTAACTGCCACGTTTTTCTCCTGACATGAATGATTTTGACTTCCACCCTGAGCTTTGGCACACAAAGGGGATCCTTGTTTTAGCCTTTTGCCTCCATCTTGAGTTTCCTTTCATGGATTTGCAAAGCATCTTTCACCACCTGAGCATATCTGGACTCTGACCAAGGACCACCATTTCCAGAACTGTCTGGAGAAGTGTTCCAGCACTTTTCTGAGGACGCTTTGGCTTTCTCTTCTGCTGGGGGCTCCTTTCTGTCATTTTCTCGCTGTGTGTTTTCTTAGAGACACTTTGCACAGAATCACATTTATGACTTTTTTGTGCCTTTTGCATGTTGGAAAGAATGATGGGCCTCACTGCTACTCATGCTTTGAAAACTGAGATCTTCAATAAACCGTATGGGAGGAGTAACTGCTTCACATTGCTAAATGCGTTCAACAAACTTCCAGTCTAATTTCAGAGCATGCCCACGTGCAGCAGGATGTGCAGGTGGTTTGTGCTTTTCCTTTTGTGTTGTATCAGTATAAAATTTGCATGGAAACAAAGCTTATTCCTCTGGCAAGGCACTGATTTCAGTAAGCACTCCTCTGGCTGCTTTTCAGAGCGTTCTGGTGATCCCTCGAGTAACGCTGCATTTGTAGGCTTGGGGACGTATGCCGAGCGTGGCTGAAGCAATACGTGTGGCAGTGCCTCCAACTCAAAGGTGATCTTTCTGTCCTGCAAAGCGGCAGCATTTCCTAGGAGCTTTGGTTCTTGATACCAGCTGGCAGTCACGGAATTGTGAATGCTGAGCAGGAGTTACGGGAGCTGAACATGCGGGGAGGGACCAGACAAAAGCAAAATGCACACGTTTGAACTGTGTTTGTCATGATTGTATGGGGCTGGCCTGACCTACTTCTAGAACACAATCTGTGCAGCTGCAAAGGCACTGTGTTATACATTACCCCCGGTGACACTACTGGTGTGTGAGAACCCACATCCACCACCTGTGCAGGCACCTATAGCTAAGGCTATTGAGTGAAACATCAGACATGTTCCCTCAAATATGGTTACCAATTTGGTCCATGGCATCAGTGACAGGGAAAAAATAGGTTTTTTGCTTCTTTTTGAAGAGGGAAACAGGGGGTTCCATGAGGCCATCTCTGTTGTTAATCTGAACGGTGTAAGAACATAATGATGTCCATGACATTACATTCCCCAAAATACATTGCATACACCAAAACAAAACCCTTACCATGGATTTCACCCCTTCCCCTTTGTAAGCTGCTCTACAGACACGTTCCCTGGTGATCTCCAAGAGCCAATTAAATATACACACCAAATGTAGAAAGGAATTGTAATTGGGCTAAAAAGCTACAAAACTCAGAAAGAACAAGAACAAATACTCTCACAGAGCAAATAAAAACACTGGGCAAAATAGGTGCTTGTTTTGTTGCAGAGCACTCTGTTATAACTCAGCTGTCACAAGAATGCCAGGCAAAGCCAGTATCTAGAGCAATGCACAGCTCAGACCAAAATGTGACAGCTGACTCCTGTATTGCTTCACGCTTTGCTGGAAAGCCACAGATGCTGTGGTGATGAGTTTTGTACAGGCCGATTAGTACTGCTCACAAACAAGTCTTTGTTTCGGACCAAATAAAAGAAAAATCAGTGAAGACAGTGCAACTCTCTCCTGCTGAGCCTTGTTTCCCTCCCTTGGTAATGAAAAAACACCACAAGTTTTCTCCAGGGAAAAGCAATCTCCAAGAGCGATAAAAGGCAATTACAGTGACAGCAGAGGCTGGACTGATGTTAAGGACCATGCTGAAATGAACCAGGAGATGAATGTCACCACCCCAATCGATCCAGATTAGTGACTTACTATGAAGTAGCCCTGTGGTGATTACAGGCTGTCGTAATAAAAGGTTGCTTTCTCTCTAGCTGATCTAAGCCTCATCAATCTTCTCCTTTCCATTAGTTTCATTTAAAATTGGAGCACCATTGTACATCCCCATAAGCCTGGCGCTGACTCAGTGGTCCCTGCCTGAGGCAATTTCTATACAGAGAAACATAGAAGTGATAGTGAAAATCCATGTTCTCACTCCAGAACTTTATGCTCTGCACTCAGCAAGGGGTGGGCAGCAGCACCAAGGGGTAAGGCTGGAAGCTGAGGTACCCTGAGATACAGGGTTTGTTTGCAGCAACCACCTGCTGTTGGATACCTTACAATTTGCTGCTGACCAATTCTGTGGCAGCCTGCTGTCACTGATGCACTGCCGTAGCTGCATGAAACAGAACGAACAACTTGTGCTGTATCATCCTGCACCACATTCCTGTGCACCTGATCCAGCCCCGTTCACAGCCCTCCTTCCCTTTCACGCACCAAATCCCAGCCTAGCACTGAGGAACCTCTTCATCCTGTATGTCAAGATGTTTCTAGCCTTCAAAATCTCTCAGCTTTAGAAGCAATCATGCTTTAGGCTCCTAAAGGCTGTAAAAACTTTAACACGTGCTAAAATGCTGAACTTGTAATTACAAGAGGGAAGATAAGTCACTATTTGTCAAATCCAAACCCTGCTGAACACCTCAGATGGAGCTCCATGCCACTGAGTGAGCTGTGGGTACCCAAATCACTTCTTCACTCCCAGGCCTCCTTTTCAATAGTAAAACTATGGTTTCTGAAATCTTTTTACTCCTACAAGTTTTGCTCAAAAGAATCAATTAATAACATTAAAATTGTGTGGTCAGTGCTATGCCTGGCTGACAGCCTCCCCCTCTGCTTGTCAAGGCGTGGGGAAGACCTCTTCATGCAGAATCAGTTTTCAAAACAAAGCTTGTCAGAGAACAAAGAACAGAGCACACAGCCTAAGCCTGCCTGTCACAAGTTGCCAAAGAAACCGAGATCAAGGACTAAGATTACCTAGTGACCGCCTTGTGGCCCTGTAGGAGATTAATTACTGAGCCTTGCTGTGTTTCTGGATGAAAAAGTATCCTTACCACCCAACTGGAGGCTAGGAGCTTTCATCTCTCAGCTAAAGAGAAGAGAGGTTGGTGTAAGAGCTGCTCCTTCAAGCAAGAGGAGGGTATTTCTGCTGTTACAATAAATCAAGGACTTCTGCACCTGAGAATGGCAAACAGAAAACAGCAGTTTGTGCAAACACTGATACATCCACTGTCATCGAGATCAAAACCAAACCCCTTCATTATGGTCCCATAACATCCTTACGCTGTTTCTTAAAGCAAGGCCTCACTGATTCAATCCTAGTGGTTTCATACAAAAGCAATTTTAACACTGGGTCTGAGGTGTTAAGCAGTAGCAAAAAGCCTTGAACTTGTATTCTCAAATAAAGCACATTCATGAGAAACAAATTTCCTTTTCTCACCCCTCATGCTGATTTCTTAATGTGCCCAAATGACATTTACTACCATTATCTTTTATTCTCCATTTTACACGTCCTCTGAAGGATTAAACAGAGAAAACAGTCTGCTTTAAATGCCTCAGCGAAACAAAGAATAGCACATATGCCATAAATAATTCAGACGAACAATTGCTCTGTCAGAACACAGATGTCTATCACTGCAGCAAAGGCCCGCAGCAGGAATGGGGCAAAGCAGGGGCTGCAGATACACGAGTGCTGCAGGCAGAGCTGTACGTGCAGAGGGCATTTGCCTCTGCCTAAGCAAATTATTTCCATTTGGCTGCAGTGCTGAACAGTATTGATGAGTAACGCACCAACCTCCCCTCACTGCTTACAACGCTGTTTTTCTCGTCTTTTTCCTATGCACAGCGACCTACTTTCAGTTCTCCTTTTCTCTGCTCCTCTCTACCGCTCTACTCCTTCACTTTCTTCTGGCTGTCCCATTTCCCTGCCCCTGGCACTGGGCTGAGGACACACGAGCACTTCCACAGGGACAGTTCTGTTGTCAGGAGCCCACGGGCTGTGGAACTGCACCAGCAAAGCACTTCCCACTTCCACCTTCTGAGAAAGCAGCAGAGGAACGGAGAAGAAAGTCTTGCTAAAAAACTAACAGCACAGATCAACTGCCAACTCTGAAAGCTTTTTGATAAAAATAACACTGTCCATCCCCCTGCTTTCACTGCCTGCTCTCTCAGCCCTTTCCTAACAGCACCTGCGCTCTCCTGCGACCCAAATCCTTTTTAGCTGCAGTGGTTATCCAAAAAAAGCTACTTTGCAATCAGAATGGAGCATAACTGGGTTTGAGGGCGTGTATGAGTTCTGCAGGCACTCCACATAGGGTGAGCACTTCACATAGTTCAGAGCTGCTTCATGGATCCTCTTTGCATCCCAAAGTAACGTCACTCCACTGCACGCCTCCTAGAACAGTCTTCTATTTTTACTTACCAAAAGCAATTTCCTTCCACTCCTTGACCTAAGAACCAACCACTACAGAAGAGCAAAACAGGATTTTTGGACTTGAAGAAAACTAAAAGAAAGCTGAAGTAATGGTGCAGTACTGAGAAAAGCTGTGATCTAAAATAACACCCAACCACTGAGCCTACCAAGCATATTTTAAATCGCTGCTTGCTTTCATCATCTGCAAAAATACTCGGCAGATCCTGAGTGACACTCAGAACCAGCACAGTCCTGCTGGGTTTGAGTGCAACAATTCATGTATTAGGACAGAAACCTAACAGGCTTTGTGGCATTTGTATCATCTTTATTTTCAATTAATTTTGCATGCTTTCTTTCTGCCACAGGCAACTATTTTGAGCCGCAGCCTATTTAGCTGACTTTTCTCCAGCAGTGAGTCACGATCCCATCAGCCTGTCACTGATACAGTTGCATTGTGTGCAACCTTCTGGCTGCAGCTCTTCCTGGTCCTCACACAACAGAGGACACCTTACAGAGCAGAACAGGATTGAGGAAAAGATTGCAGAAGAGAGCTGACATTTACAATAAGGGTATGTCTATTTATTGCTCTGACATCAACAGCGTTTCCCACAGATTAAATGCATTAAATTGCATCACAGAAATAATGTGACCTAAAACTGCAAAATGAACCTTGACTGAACAAAGAAAAAGGCTTCAGAAATAAGAAAAAAGGCATCTGTATGTACTTTTATTCCAAGCTTTTCTTTATTCAGCCTCACAATCCCAGGAAGACATGCACTACAACTGCAGACCTCCTTCAGGAAACGTGTGACTGAGAAAGGGCATTTTTATGACCACTTCTTTCCCTTAAGTCAGCTCTCCTAAAGGCTCTTCATCTTAATCACTGTGCCATATTACAGTTCCAAAGCTTTACAGAAACGTTGTTCAGGTTGTCACAAGGCACAACATGTTGCTTATGTTATGTGACAGCCAGAGGATAAATGGATAGATCTTTCAGATCACATGTTACAACACAGTTACCTGAAATTTCAGGCACTGCAATCCATCCTGATGGCTGTTTGCATTTCTGGTTTTCCAACTTGTAATCTCTGT